GCATACCTATTATGTATTCCACTTGGTCATGGTGAATTCTTTTTTTTTTTTATTATTTTTTTTTTTATTCTATTGACCTGGATTTTATTCAGGATTTTTTTCAACTTTGTTCATGAGAAATATTGGCCTATAGTTTTCTATTTTGGTGGTGTCTTTACTTGGCTTTGGTATCAAGGATATGTTTGCTTCATAGAATAAGTTTGGGAGAATTCCATCTTTTTTTATTTCTGAAATACTTTATGTAGAATTGGTGACAGATCTTCTCTTAATGTTTGATAAAACTTACCTGTGAAACCATCTGGTTTAGGGCTTTTGGGGGGGGGCTGGAAGTTGTTTTATTAATTTTTCAATTTCTTCTTTTGTAATATATATGTAATACATATGTTCAGTTTCAGTTTGTGTCAGTTCAGGTAGTTTGTGAATGTCTAAGTATTTGTCCATTTCCTCTAGGTTTTCCTCTTTTTTTCTGAGTATTGTTTTTTATATTATTCCACTGTTAGCATTTTTATTTTAGTTGGTTCTGTTGTGACATTGCCTATTTCATCTTTTATTGAAATTATTTGTCTTTTCCTTTGTTAGTTTTGCTACTGGTTTGTTGATTATATTGACCTTTTCGAAGAACCAGCTCCGGGCGGCAGCGCGGCAGCAGCACCTGCATCCGGACAACGCTCACTCGGGGGCTGCAGGCGTGGGCACTCGGTGGTGGGATTTGATAAATCCGAGAAGATCCAGCTTCCAAAATGAGGCAGCTCTTGACCACCCTCTGCTGCCTGTGGTGCTGGCCAGTGCCTGGAGCAGACAGCATTTCAAGACCATGTCGGAGGAGCTGATCAACTTAGTCAGCAGTTATAACACTACGTGGCAGGCTGGACACAACCTCTACAATGTGGATATGAGCTACATTAAGAGTTTATGTGGCACCCTGCTCAAGGGACCCAGGCTGCCCAGGAGAGTTTTCTTAGCTGATGAAATGATGCCCGGGAGAAGCAAGATTTTACTGAAGATTATCCAAAAACGACTGGAACAGCACAACAGCAGAGAATTACCAGACGTCCAGGCTAGGTTTAGAAGGGGTCGTGTGGTACTAGAGATATTGTAGCTGATGTTAGATGGATCTTGGCTGAAAGCAGGGAATACCAGAGTATCTGTGTTTCATTGACTGTGCAAAGGCATTTGACTGTGTAGATCATAGCAAACTATGGCTGACTCTGAGAAGAATGGGAATCCCAGAACACTTGATCATTCTAATGCGAAACTTAGACTTGGAACAGGAGGCAGTCGTCAGAAAAGAGCAAGGGAACACTGCATAGTTCAAAATTGGGAAGGACGTACGCCAGGGATGCATCCTATCTCCATACCTTTTCAACCTATATGCAGAACAGATTATCCGGGAGGCTGGGCTCTATGAGGAGAAATGTGGGGTGGACAATTTATCAACAACCTGCGTTATGCGGATGACACAACCCTGCTTGCTGAAACTGAAGAGGACCTGAAGCGCCCGCTGCAGAGTGTCAAGGACTGCAGCCTCCAATATGGATTGAGGCTCAGTGTCAAGAAGACAAAGATTCTCACCACTGGACCAATTGGCAGCATCAGGATGGATGGTGAAGAGATTGAGATTGTACACAGCTTTAGTTTGCTTGGCTCCACAGTCAACAGTCTAGGCACCAGCAGCCAGGAAATTAAAAGGCGCATTGCCATGGGAAAGTATGCTGTTAGGGACCTCTCCAAAATACTGAAGAGCAGTCTTGTCTCTCTGGAGACTAAGGTGCGTCTGATACAGACTATGGTCTTCGCAATCACCTGTTATGCATCAGAGAGTTGGACAATGACCAAGGAAGATAGAATAATTGATGCCTTTGAGCTGTGGTGCTGGAGAAGAGTATTGAGAATACCATGGACTGCTAGGAAAACAAACAGATTTGTCCTGGAAAGGGATAAAGCGGCTTGTTCCTTGGAGGCAAGGATTCTGAGGCTCCGTCCAACATACTTTGGACATGTTGTGAGGAGAGACCGGTCCTTGGAGAGGGACATCATGCTTGGGAGGGTGGAGGGACAGCGCAGGAGAGGAAGGCCCTCTATGAGGTGGATTGATTCAGTGACTGGGATAATTGGGATGGGAGTGTCAGAGATGGTGCGATTGGCACAGGACAGGGCGGAGTTTAGGGCTGTTGTACATAGGGTCGCTATGAGTTGCAAGCGACTCGATGGCATATAACAACAACCAACAACCTCTGGGATTGCAGTGCAGCGTCTTGCCACTAGGCCACCAGAGCTCCCTAGTGGTCTTTATTTTACAAACTCCCTTAAGCTCTATTTTTTCTGGGAATATCTTGATCTCTCTTTCATATTTGATGAACATTTTTGCTGGATACAATATTCTTGGTTGGCAGTTGTCTTCTTTTAGTGTTTGGTATATGTTGCAGCCAGGCCAGTCAAAGGCGCTCCTGCTAATGCCATTTAATTGACTGTACATGAGGAGATTGAAGGCTGAGTGTACAGGGCAGGCACACGTGCATTGCAGTCACACATGTGTTGCAGGCTCACATGCATGGCGGACACACACAGAGATGCACACGGGGCGGGCGAGTGCGCAAATGCTTACAGGTTGAACACAGGCAGGGACCTGAGTAGAAAACCAGGAAACCTTGGTTTTCCCTTTGAGACCTGTGTCTGCCACCTCACTCAAGCTCCCATAGTCTCACTCCATTCTGCTTGAGCTTAAGGGGTCCCACATGGTCCAAAAAGCAGTGAACCCCACAAAGTCCCTCACTCATATTCCAGTTGTCCTGTTTCCTTCCTGTGGCTCATTCTCCATGGATTGCTGTCTGCGGCTTGCTCCTTGCTTCCCCCGCCTCACTTCCTGCAGTTCACTCCTGGTCCCGCATCGTTCCTGGTCTGGCTGGCTCTCTGCTTTACCTTTTCTTGCCCCCTCTGGGGAGACATTTTGACTTCCCTTTTTTCTTTATCATTCCACTACTTTCCTCTGACGCCCTTCTCTCTCCAAGGATGTCCGAAGTTTCCTTTACCAGAACTCACTTGACCTGCTTCAGTGTCATCTACCAATAGTGGCTGCTCTGTTCTGTCTACTGCAGATCTGTCTCCACACCATCCTCAAAGGAATCCTCCCACCCAATCTGACTGGTTCTCTCTTAACACAACTATAGACTGGCACATGTCAGGGTGGCCTCCAAGATCATACTTAAACTGCCTCCTTTGACTATAATTTCTTGAAAACAGAGACTACCCTGGCCTCTTTGTTTGGTGCTTTCAAATCACTGGTGGTGCATTGTCATTCTCCATTGAGTCTGTGTTGGATGAGCGAATGAGAATGCATGTGCATGTGTAATTTCATCTCTATGTCCTCACTTCACCCTCGCTTGTTTGTCATCCTGGTTTGCTCTTTGTACCAGCTTTCCCTCCCTTGGGGCATCTGCCAAGCTGCACATTGCCTTACACGGAATGTCACTCTTCCTTAGTTCTTCATGTCTCTGCTCAGCTCTTCTTCCTTCCACATTTCTCCTCTGGTTATATCCTCCTGTCAGCCACAGTCTTTTTGTTCAGGAGGTTGAGCACTTTGTTTCTCTCAGCTTTCAACCCCTGTGTTGTCTCCCACTTTTCTCTTAGCTCTCCTGTCCTCCTGAATGAAGAGCAATGCTAGCTCTGTCAGTTCTGCCCTTCTGCCTCATGCCCTAGGTTACTAATGTTCTTGCAATCCCTTCAGATTCCACATTCTCTTCAGTTAGTCAAGAATTTCCATCAGTGTCTTTGCTGAGCAACATGCAAACACCCAAGATCAATTCTCATAACTTTATTATTATCCCAAAACTAAATCATGAAGTAGGATAAAAGACAAAAAGCTGGTCTGAAGGTCATTGGTGCAGCCTAAGGAATGAATGCTCAGGCAGCTGCTGGGAGCAGATGCAAAGGCCCTGTGGTAAAATGTGGTAAAAATGAGCTAGAGTGTTTGTGAGATGGAGAAAGGCTGGCCAAATTGAGACTAGCAGAGTCCTTTTTACAGACACTTGCATGGGTTCACAAAGTACGTTTTAGAGAGGGGCAGGTAATTCTTCATTTTGTATAAATTCAAGTTCATTTCCTTTACCTTTATCTTTCTCCTTGTCCTGCTCATCGCTACTTTGCTCCGCCCACCATTTCTGTGATGGTTAAGTGGTATGATGACCATGTCACATGTCTTGAAACTCCTGGTATGGAAATAACTAAATCATGTAGCTAAAAGTTTCCTTAGACCCCGGAACGTGGGCTCAGTGGCAAATCTTTCCATTATAGATAATGAACTGCAGATTGCAATATGGCATTAAGTTCTGGCCAAGGAGGGACTCGCAAGGTTCCCTCATCCTATTCCTGCATCTACAAAATGAGCTAGCGAGGCACTGCCTTTTGGCATGGCATCTCAAAAGTCTGGAAGCATCCAGAGGATTTGGGGTTAACTCAGAGCATACTCCGGACAATGAAGTATGTCCTATCTTAGGAATTATCTTTTCATAATTTCTAATACTACACATTTTAGTATTTTTATATTCATGCTTTAAGTTTCCTTTCACAGGTTATAAAATCATTTGATCAATCCCAGGTTCTCTGTCTATAAAATGAAGATAACACCTACCTTGCAGAGCTGTTAATGAAGATTTATCAGTGAGAGACTTAGTAAAAGTCTTGAAAAATAACATAGAGTGGATACCTAATAGTGTACAACATTAACATTTCTCTAATTGGTAAAAATGTATTATTTATATGATCCAAATAAGACATCTGAAATTATAATTTTTGTGGTCAAATGATTAAATTATAGCTATTTAGTTCCCAAGAGATAACTAGAGAATGGTAGGATATAAACTATCTGGTAATATAATTCATAGTTTCTCAATTTAATGCAGAACAAGCATGTAACCCAAGGGAAATCTGTGAAGAACTGTTTTGTTTAATTAATTAATTAATTTATTACATTATTTGATTTTGGGTTTTGTTTCCTTGAATAGTTTCCTAACAAAATCGTGGCTCAAGTAGCTTGTGATGTTCTTCAGTTGCTGGTTTCCTACTGGGAAAAGCTTCAGATGTTTGAAACCTCTCTGCCCCGGAAAATTGCAGAAGTAGGTATTTTTCCTGTGGTGCTTAAACATAGGCATTTTCTTTTTATTGTATTTTATATTTGATTAATTATAGATACTCAAATGATTGTGAGTGAATCTACTTTGAAATTGCCATATGAATTATTCATCTCAAGATTAAATTGAAGAGTCACCAGAGTTTCAAGGCAGAGTTGTACACTTTGGAAATTTGAAAAGCAGGTGCACCCACAACTAAGAACTTTTATAGATATGACTTCTTTCATTGAGAACAGTTTGATTGATTCCAACAAGAAAAAGGCAGTTGGTTGTGGTGGCCTCCTTGGGGAATTATGGGTTGTCTAAAATATTAATTTCTACCAGATTAAAGCTCTGTAATGTGCTTTCTGCATTAAGCTTGATTACCTACTTAAAATGAGATTACTCTCATAATCATTTCAATGCAAGGGGCTTATAGGGGAGAGAGATAGAAAGAAAAGGAAGAATCAACCCAACAGTAAGGCTATGGAGGCTGGTTACATTTGGGGATGCTTTGTACCTACCTGGCACCCTTTCAAGTGCCAAGTAGTAAGGCATGTCCATGCCCAGAACCTTTTCTAATTCACATTTTAAAACATTTCCTGTTGTTTACACATCCAGTGGTAACTCTTCAAGGAAATTTGATTCATTTCCATGTGATATTTCAGGAGAGAGAAGTAATACTGATTTATTTTCTTTCAGCCTTAGACAAATTTCACTGGTGAGATCACTTTATTCTCTTAGGGACACATGACCCTGAGTGACCTAGAATGAAATGTAACTTTGAACATGTGGATAAAAGACACTGCAAAAGAAAAAGTTGAGTTTTAGAGCAACCAGATAATTCATCATCTAAATGGCAATGCTTTTGTGAATGAAGGAGGTATAATTCTAAGATGACAACAAGTACATAGGGTAACTTAAAAGTATATGAGAGCATTTTTATTGTGAGAAGTGAGAGAATTGAAAATGAAAATCGACAGGACACAGGAATATTATTTCCTTTTACTGGTGCCCACACCAGTAGGGTCAAGTGGAACTCAGGCATGGGCCCTGATTCTCCTAATTTCAGAATCACACACATAACTAAGTTTGTGATCACCTACTTATGAGTTGACACCAAGTAGGGCTTAGTTGCAAAGCCATGTTAGGACTGACTTCCAAACTGTTACTCTGGACTGTGTGGTTGAGATTGATTTTATTTTTATATATGCAGATACTTGTGGCTACAATTGCTTTTCTTTTACCAAGTGCAGAATACTCCTCACTTGAAACAGATAAGAAGGTAGGTGACACATTATTCAAATTCTTTCTGTACAATAATGCGTAGTGTGATGGATATGGAGCTTGAGAAGACTGGAGTGTAAGTTCATGTATCTTTCTTCCAGTTTATTGTTTCTCTGCTTCTCTGTCTCCTGGACTGGTGCATGGCATTACCAGTGCCAACCCTTCTTCATCCAGTGTCACCAGCCCTCCTGGATGAGCAGCCCACCACCAGAGCCCCCTTACTAGATTACATCTACAGGGTAAGTGCCAGCCAACCTCCAGGGCAAATGAGATTTCTAAGTTCATGAGTTTCTGAGAATTAACAAGATATAATTTATGTGTTTGTTAAAGTGCCCTTTTGAAAAGGATCCAAGGTAAGTTAAATCTTGGAATAGGAAATATATGATAGAATAAAAAGTAAAAACAGAAGATAAAGAGGTATTATATGTATGACTAGAATCTTTAACAAGAGGTACATTGCAATGTGGGATGGGAGGGAGATATGAGGAGGAAGGAGGAAATGTTCACAAGGAATGAATGGAAATCCAAGTTCTCAGTAAACTTTTATTAAGATCTTAAAAAAAAAAACTCAGTAAAAAATTAAGAAAGAAAATGTCCAATGTAAAAAAAAAAAGTATTGGTTACCAAATTAGAAATGCATGCACTTTTAGAGAACCATAAAATCAGTTCTTGTCATGACTTCCCAGTTTTCATAGAGAATAACCTCTAAATACAAATTTAAGAAAAAAATGTGTATTCAGCTTTATTGTGTTTTGAAATTTATACAGAGATTTCTCATTCACACTCAGATTTTCTAGGGCATTGTCTACAATCTCCTCAATGTGTTAGCACTTACTCTATTTGTTCTTTGAGTTCTGTTTCTATTAATCCAGTTTCCCTACCTTTTTATCTTTGCTTTTTTGTAGGAGGTTGACATTTTGTACACATATAGTTGATTTTTTTTTTTTTTTGTGAAGGAGTATTTTTCCTGAAGAGGGTTTTTGTTTAATTTTATAGACCAATCTATTGATTGATTAAAAAGTGACCTCTGTAAGTCACTTCCAAGTTGCAAAGATGTTTTAGAATTTTCTCTGTCAGTCTAGTAAACAACATTATGATCAAGAGAATGGTAATGAAGGAGGAAAACTTACACATGCAAATACCTCATGAAACTGAATTACTGAGTTCGAAGGCTGAAGAACAACATCTTGGAGAACATCTAGGTCAATTGCCCATCATTTTCTTTTTGTACTGTGGTGTTAGCAACCAAACAGCTTTTACCTAGAAGGCCAGTTTCAGACACTGTCATTAGGAAAAATGGAATGACTTGGGGAACTCATATTCCATTTAAACAAATGACCACACTGTTTGTAGAGAAGCCATTTATAACTAATGTATAAAGAATGGAATTGTGTGTACTTGAGAAGGGAAGGGACTTGGGAATTTGAGGAAGGCATCAGTAGGCTGGCCCCAAGAAAAGAGCCTTCTAGCTATCTTCTAACAGCCCAGATAAGGATTCTATCACTCAGCCTTAACACACAAAACCTAAGGTACAATTGTGAAAGGCTTCTAGGAAAGATATAACCCAGGAGCAGTCCAGTTTCAGGTTCTTAGTAAGACAGCAGTACATTAGGAAGTGAGGTAGAAGAGCTATTTTGTTTTCTGCATAATACTGCTCACACTTATCAGGGAACAGGGCACTAAATGTCCAGAAAGAACATCTTGCCTCAAGCATTAACATTATTTCTGGCAAGCTGAGTGGGCCTGCCCTTTTCCCACTGTGACCCTTTGAATTGTTATTGATGGTCTGCCAAGGAGTTTGAGCAATGCCAGTTCCACAATAGTTTTAGAAGAGAGACCTGAAGTCCAGCTGGCTGCTGGCTTGTTTCTGTCTCTTGGCTGCAACAGCCAAGTACATCTGCTTTAAGATCAAAATGTCACTCTGGATTTTGTGGTTTAGCTGGGTCTGCACATCACTCATCATCATCTTCTGCCCTGACAGAGTTGAGAAAAGGAAGGTTCAGGGACGAGAGAGCAGAGAACTACAGGATTCCACATTGTAGTCAGACAGACCTCTCCAGGATGCTGTTCAGTACATCCAGCTTGGGATACTCTATGGCCATTCCTCTGACTTGGAGTACACTTTGTTTCTCAGGCCATGTGGATCATAGTCAAAAGCCACTCCTGCGCTAGGGTTCCATTTGGCCTGTTCCTTATCAAAGCCCTTTTGGCACAGACTTAAATTAAACTCAAGCTTCTTCACCTTTCTGAGCCTGACTATGAGAATATCTTCCTGTTCCACACAGTCCTGGATGTCATTGTATCGGTTCTGGGATGGGATTAGAATGACCCAGAGCTGTTGAAAATGAGACCTAAGCCTGACTGACTAAGGCTGGTCTCCAGAGCACCACACATTAGGCACAACTCTTCACCCAACAGTTGAAGAACTCTGCGCTTGTCCACAATGTCATTCATGAGCAGAAGTAATCTGAGTCTTCTAGCAGTGAATTCATGAAGGACTGAGGAACTGGCATCAAACTGCACTCAGTCAACGACTGTGGTGGGCATTTATGCAATGAAGACCCTCCAAATAGAACTGGCCAGCCCAAGGTCCATGTTCTCCATGATGGATTGACATCCATGTGAAGAAGCTCGCTCCCTGAGCAGGTTCAGTTAACACCTTTCCACTCACCTGGCCCAGCTTTTACTGTTAGCTTTACTGAATCTCTGCCACCAGAAATGTCTCATACACTCTTAAGGAAAAATCGTCTTGGAAATATTCAACTAATTATTACTTTCATCATTTTAATAGTACATAAAATACTCTTAACACTGCCTCCCTATATTTCTCACCATTACAACCCCAATCCCAATTATTAGACATAGAGTTAATAGCCCCTATTCCTTCAGCACTAGCCTTGATAGTCTTTGGAAAAAAGCTGTCTGCCTGTAGATTCTAATGTATTAGTTTTACATTGTTCCATCCATACAAGAATTACTATTACACAAGAAGGGTTCTTTTGCTTATTGTATTAGTTAAAATCTTTTCTTTTTCCCCCTCTTATTGAGAGGTGGAACTTTGATCCACTTCATTTTTTATCACAGATGACCAAGCTCTTCCCCTTCCCCCCACCCCCCAGCCCAATGTGTCGCTAAACAATAGATATGAAGCCAGGGAGGTTTTGTAATTGTTGTTATGTACCATCAAGTAGCCTTCGACTCAAAGCGACCCTATGTACAACAGCTCTGAAGCCTGCTCTGTACTGAGCCAGTCTCACTGACTCCAACACACCTACCCACATTGCCCAAATCACTGTATCAATCCATCTTATCCAAGGTCTTCCTCTCTTACACTGTGCCTCCATGCTACTAAGCATGATGTCCTTCTCCAAGGACCAGTCTTTCCTGGCCACATGCCCAAAGTATGTGAGACAGAGCTTCAAAATCCTAGCCTCCAAGTACAAACTTGGTTTCACCCTCTGCAAGACCGAACTATTTCTTTTCTTGGTCTGTTCAAAACTCTTTTCCAGCACCACAACTCAAAGGCATCAATTCTCATCTGTCGTTCTAAGTCATTGTCCAGCTTTCTGATGCAAGTAATTGCAAAGCCATGGCCTGGAGCAAGTACACCTTAGTCTCTAAACTGACATCATTGCTTCTCAGTACTCTGGAGAGGTACCTGACAGCAGATTTTTCCAGTGCAATTTGTCTTGATTTTCATATTGCTGGTGCCAAGAGTGTTGATTGTGAAGCTGAGCAAGCTGTAAGTGTTAACCTCAATCTCTTCTCCATCTATCATGGTTTTGCCAATTGGTCCAGTGTTGAGAATCTGTCTTCTTAATGTTGAGTTTAAGTCCATCATGAAGACTACAGTCCTTGACCTTCTGAAGCAAGCACTTCAGGTCCTTCTCAGTTTCATCAAGCCAGGCTGTGATATTTGCATAGCATAGGTTGTTGATGAGTCTTCTTCCACTCCTGATGCCACATTCCACCTCATAAAGCCCCAGCCTCCAAAAGGTCTATTCTGCATATAGATTGAAAAGTTTTGGAGACAAAATGCATCCCTGACACACTTGTTTCCTGAAGTTTCCTTGCTCTATTCTAAAGACTGCTTCCTGGTACAAGTATAGATTTCATATAAACACAAACAGGTGTTCTGGGATTCCCATTCTCCTCAAGGTTAGCCACAGTTCGTGGTGATTCACACAGTCAAATGTCTTCACACAGTCAATGAAACACAAAAAGACATTCCTCTGGTAATCTTTGCTTTCTGCCAAGATCCATTTGACATTGGCAATGTCTCTAGTGCCACAACCTCTTCTAAACCCAGCTTGTGTTTCTGCTAGTTCTCTGTCAAAGAACTGTTCCAGTCGTTTTTGGATTATCTTCAGCAGGATTTTGCTTACGAGTGAAATTACCGAATTATTTTATATTTTCCACACACTCTCAGGTTTTGCTTTTGGTTTGTTTGTTTGTTTTTGGGTGTTTTTTAATGGAAATATTTATGGATCTTTTCCTGTCAGTTGACCAGGTAGTTGTCCTCCAGATTTCTTGACACAATCTGGACAGCACATCCAAGGCAGCATCTGTTTGTTGTGTGTATATGTAGTATCATTATTTTTTAATTTGCAAAATATTTTGTATTATTGTTCTTCCTCCAATTTTTAAGATTGATTTTAATTAAATTATCCACATACATTTTGTTTTATAATATTAATTACATTTGATCAATGACATTTCTTATAAGGTCTCATCAAATCCTCACTGAACCTTGCCTTTCCCTTCCTCCTGCTGTCTATCCACTAATCTCTGCTTTCCTCCCTCTCCTTCCCATTCCCGTTAATCCTCCCCAGTTGTTTTTATCCATATATAAAACTTTCCTTGGGTGTTTTCCCCCACTATGGACTATCCTGTTATACATGTTAATTATAGTACATGTGGTATATGATACTCTATTCATTTCACATTGTCCTTGTTTCCATCTATTCCAATAATGTGTTCATTGGCTATCCATTCATTTCCTACTCTCCTTTCCCATACCATGCCCACCATAGCCATAGTAAATTGATTCTTACCATATATAAACCTTTCTCTAGCTTATTATTGTGGGGTAATGGTTTTGTTTCTGGTCAAATATTTGGATTTTTGATTGTTGTTATGTGACATCGAGTCGCTTGCGACTCATAGTGACCCCGTGTACAACATCCCTAAACTCTGCTCTGTCCTGTGCCAGTCACACCGCCTCCAGCACACCCATCCC